ATCTCAGAAAAACCATTTCTGGACTGCCTAAAGAATTTAAATAAATCAACTTGGGTTGATCTACATTTTTGACAAGACCAGCTAAGACCCTTTCCCTCGTTAATAGCGTCTAACACCCTACCGCTCAACCCAGCATATTTTATATGGGCAATCACATCGCAGAGCCAGCATGGCACATAGAAGTCGCTTTTAACGTGGCAATTGGTGTAAATACACGACATGTTTAAAATTATATTTAATTTTTAGGTTTTAGAAGCAAAAAAGCAAAGCAGTTTTGAAAACGATGTATCAAACAGAGAACCAATCAGCTGGTAAATATCAGTTGGAAAGCTATGTAGCGAACAGTTTTAAATACACTGTATATTTGACACCTAATAAACACAACGCAAACAGCTGTGACAAAGATGAAACAGCAGAAATGACAAAAAAACAAAAAGAGCAAAATCAATGAGCACAAACAAAAACAATTGTACAACAACAATATATTATATGAAACAAAAAACTCGGCACATGCAATTAAGAATAACAAGTTAAATTAATCAAATTTACAGGAAATTTTGATATTTTACTTATCTTTAAATTGTGCACCAGACGTTTATTAACACTTTTTTTTAATTTTTCTACTTTATTAAGCGTAAACAGCTTTATAAAACACAAAGTTTAAGCAGATCACAAAAAACACAGCTTCACAGCTTTGACGTTTGCGTTCAATAAGTATTTTGACCAACATCTTCGTTATTACTCAACTTTTTGCTATAGTTGAGACAAGAAAGATACAGAATTAAAATATCTTTCAGAATTATAGAATAAAAACTAATTTAAAATGCATAATATGCCTTTTTTCGAGCTCACACTCAACTGTGTAAGTACGCAAAGCATTCGTATGTGAACGGCAAGTTTTGACAGATAATTGTGAGCGTCCATAAAGGGCCATTCACATACAACTTTCCTCGCTTTGCTTGACAGTTCAAACTTTGACAACAAAGCGTGAAACGCAGAAGGTATGCTACAATAAACGCATTGACAGCTTTTGCGTTCTCCTTTTCCTCCATATATTTTATCTGTAAAATAGATAACAATATAATAATATGTATTAATAAAAGCAATAAAAATTCCTATTTACCCTATTTTTGTCATTAAATGCAGTGTATAATTGCAGTGTTCGTCTGTGTTACCTAAACATAGCAACAACTTACTCCAATTATTCTTAACTTTGGATTCTTTAATAGAGAAAAGCTTATTTATAAGATATAGCAGGGATCACACGAGTTGTACATTTGAACAGATATGGCTATTTTCACCGTTACAGACCCACCCGACCGGACAAAACCACCCGACCGGCAACATAGAAAGGCTAATTCTACTTAGTGAGGGTTATAATCACTAAGCGCGGCCGAAGGCCGCCTAGGCAGAAAGAAGTTTTGCGCAAAAAGTCCCCCGCCCGACAACACGGAAAGGAGAATTCTACTTAGTGAGGGTTATAATTCCTAATTGCGGTCGATGGCCGCCTACGCAGAAAGAAGTTCTGCGCAAAAATACTTACGCTCCTCTTTTCCGTCATCAGAGAAAGGAGAATTGTACTTAGTGAGGGTTATAATCCCCCGCAACAGAAATCTCTCGGACAAAAGAACCCCATCTCCAAAAAAAATCTCTAGCCTATGGTACCTAAACGGTTAATTTTGACTATTTTATTACTTCTTTTAATCTTCGCTCAAGCAGTAGCAAAAAGTGAGTCCAAGTATATGTACTTAGAATCTATGTATAAATATATGTACATATGTATGTACAGGTACATAGGTACTTGTTCTTTAACTTCGCTTAAAGCGGGAAGCAGAGATGACCCAAAACAGAAGCGAATTATTGGTAAATATGGGCATACATACACAGTAGAGGGCTGCATAAATGGTTTTGAAAGGGCAATCAAAACTTTTGCTAATTTCGCTATAATTCACTTCACTTCCTCAGAGCTTTCAAAACTTTACTTCAATAAAATATTGCTGCAAAAAAAATCAAGCACTATTGCATTTACTGTCGTATGCAACTAGTTCNTAGCGTATGTACTTAGAATCTATATATACATATATGTACATATGTATGTACAAGTACATAGGTACTTGTATGCATAAATACATATGATCTTTAAATTCGCTTAAAGCGGGAAGCAGAGATGACCCAAAACAGAAGCGAATTATTGATAAATATGGGCATACATACACAGTACAGGGCTGCATAAATGGTTTTGAAAGGGCAATCAAAACTTTTGCTAATTTCGCTATAATTCACTTCACTTCCTCAGAGCTTTCAAAACTTTATTTCAATAAAATATTGCTGCAAAAAAAATCAAGCGGATAGCAAGAGCCCCTATTGTGGGCTATTCTGCGGGTGATTTTGTCCGGGGGAATATTGTTTGGGGGGATTTTATCCAGAGGATTTTTGTTCGGGGAGATTTTTATACGGGGGATTTTTTCTGGAGGATTTTGTCCGGGTGATTTTAGGCACGGGGGAATAATTCCTAGAGCCATTTCCTCTTTCCTTACACTTATCTAATTATTAAGGATAATTTGTAATTTAATTTAATTTAGGTTTAAGTAAATATTGTCATTGTCATTGCTATTTTACTTTCCACGTACAGTATATAATGGATGAAGTACTTTAAGGGCCAGTTTTTCAGTGCACGGCCGTGGTTTAAACTCAGTTTAAACGCCCGATCTGGCTGGTTTAAACTGAGATCAACCAATCAAATGTCTGCCAGCTGTTCAATTTAAACTCAGTTTACTTAAACTAAGTTTAAACTGGCACTGAAAAACTGGCCCTCAAAGACCTAAGTCTTACCCTGTACTACTAGAAAAAAAATAAATAAATTGTGCCGAAAATCAATCGATTGTGTTTAAGGTGTCGGCTGCTTCCGAAAGTGCCGAAATGGCACAATACACACTCATTTTCCATCAGAGTGTGTGCCAATCGGTAACTTTTTTCTCCGGGGTGAGACGGGGTGGACAAATTTTCTAGGGTGTACGAATAAATTGAATTTTGCTGGGCCAAATGCAAAGTAAAATTTTGACAGTTGAAAGACCAAACAAACGCCCATGCGAAAGCTGTATTTTCGGTGTCTTGCTGAAATTGTTAAAATTTATATTTATTTTATAATTTGGAAGTAACGTATTTTTTGTGCTTTCATTTTGATTTTCACTTATTCATTACCGCCAAAGAATATTTGGAAACATCAGAACACCTACTCTTTTGTTGTCCCCGTACTTTTCGTTGTTACTCACTTTTTACTCTTACTTCAGAGAGTAGTTTTGCAGTTTGACATTTTTACAGGATTTTACACGAAAAGTATTGGATCAGAGCTAATGTGAGGTTGGAGATATAAATAAATAGGGAATTGACTAAAAAGACTTCAGGTGACTTTTAAGGGTTCTGGGTTGAGCTCTTTCGATCAGAAAATGTCGAAAATACACCAATTTCTTTGATTTAACATTTTTTTTAACTATAAATCAGAAAAATTCTACATTATGCTTTATTTAAAATGAACGTAAAATTACCTTTCCAGCAAGTTTTGGAGTTCAATGGGGTGAAGTCGTTGTTCTGTAGTCATCGGCGCAATGGTTGGGGCAATATTTGGTTGCACGTTCGCACCGATGAAAGATTTAATGAAAGGGAAGAAACAAACGTGGTATTAGTATACACAACTCAATTTATTTTCTTGTCAAAATCCGTATATAAATATATATATGTGTATATATGTACTTAATGCATATATCTCTTACAGATACCTTTAATTATTATGTGCTGGAACTTGGTGGCTGGATCACGTCCTTTTTTCGGATACTCGCAAAAAAAAAGTAAATCGTTCTTGGTTTTTGTTATGGTTGCCTGTCGAACTGCTTATTTAACGAAAGTTAGTTAACAAAGTAGTTGAAATGGTTTAAGGAAATTTAAGCCGTTGGCCTAAACATGCCGGCCCCCTTGCGATGCGCAATATATTCAGCACGCCCAACCACCATGTTCAGCTGATCTACTTAGTTTCATACATTTCTTTAACTAATTATTGCCCAGACTCTGCTACTGGTCTCCGTTGGTGGTATCTAGATTTCGACCAAAAAAGAAAAATTAATAAAAATAAACGTGACTTAAAATTTCACTTACACTTTTTCTTTATTAATGACTTCACAGTATGTAAATATGTACAAGTATGGTATGTACGAAGAAAATTTCAATGAAATATGGAAAAGGAAAATTATGCCTAACAGGCGCCAGAGAGCACGTATCCGAAGATGGTGCTTTGTGCTAAAAGCGGGCCCATTATCCCTGCGCGAGGTCCGCAATAAGATGTCATGACGTGGAAACGCCCTCCCCCCCCCCCCCCCCCCCCCCCCCCCCCCCCCCCCCCCCCCCCCCCCCCCCCCCCCCCCCCCCCCCCCCCCCCCCCCCCCCCCCCCCCCCCCCCCCCCCCCCCCCCCCCCCCCCCCCCCCCCCCCCCCCCCCCCCCCCCCCCCCCCCCCCCCCCCCCCCCCCCCCCCCCCCCCCCCCCCCCCCCCCNCAACAAATAAAAACGTTCGGTAATTTTGGTAAACTGCGAGTTGTTGCTCGGAACTTAATACCTAACTCGGTTTTGTATTATTTTGGATTATGACACTATTGAAGGAAGCAATATGCGTTATGCTTTTAATAAAATAATAATAAAAAAGAAGTATCAAGCTCGGTGTGAATACCCCTTTTATTTGTAAGTGCTAACATTATTCCGCTGTAAACACTTTCTTTGTGTAAGGGGATTATTTCAAAATCTAAGCTTGTATGTATCTAAAAGTGATCTTCTCGTGTTTATTGGGTGCAATGGATATACGCAAGTTTTTGAAAAGTAGATTCTGGCAGCTTTAGTAACTTCATATAGCCTTTTAAAAAAGCGTAATATTTTGTGTTTAGCTGAAGCTTTAGGAAGATTCTTGCATCCATTCTTACAAGCATTATATTTTGCGGTACTCACGATTTGCCTTTGAGAGGGAAGACCTGAGAAGAAGGTAAGCAATTTTAATTGTTCTCAATAATTTGTTTATTTGTCGATGTAGTAAAGCAAAGTGCAAGTTCTAACAATTGCTTCGCTTGAAATAAAATCAAAATAAAGATAAACAAAATATCTAACCTCCTTAGCATGCGTATCCGTATGCGTGCGTTTGACATTTGTGCTTAGAAGTCCAAACCCATATAAATTTCTTACGTTTTCATGCGTTGCTATCTAGGTGCTGCCATGATAAAAATATAGTAAGGTAAAACCATCGTACAGTTTCATAAGTAAAAACACTATCAGCTGATTGCCAGAAAATGCCTACAGCTGAGATCACCTGTTTTTTGGCATGTGCTCTTATCTTTTACAATTTCTTTCATTTCTATTACAATTTCTTTTATTTATATTACAATTTATTCAAAATACACTAACACACTGAACCAAAAACACCAATACACTAACCAAAAACACACCTACAGCCATGGGCGTAGCCAGAAAGGAGCAGGGGGGTGCTCGAGCCCTCCCCCCCTAACTTTCAAATTTTCCTTATATATATACAAAATAGTACCCTGAAATGCCAGCGTAATAGGGTCGAGCACCGCCCCACCCCCCCCCCCNGAGTTACTTTACTTATGGAACTGTAAGATGGGTAGAACCGTTCTCTCAATTCGTCGGCCATGATTTTGTTTTATTTTTTGAAGTTTGCCAACATTTTAAAATCATATAAAATTGAGAGTAAAAAAAGGAATTGTTCAGAGTTATTGTTGTTTGAGATTAAGAATAAGAATGTGTGTGTGAGTTTGTGTGTAAAATTTTAAAATTAAATTGCTTGCAAACGTCAAGAATTTGAAAAATTCATCTCAGCGGTTCATAACATTTTGCGAAAATATATGTATGTTGACGACGTTCTCGCCAGGCGACATAGCGTCGAAGTTGCGAGAAGAGATATCACAGGTGCCAAATTCAGCCGGGTTTCCATTACGAAAATGGACTTCAAACTCTAGCAAAATACTTCAAGGAATACCAAAAGGTCATTTACTTACTGAAGATTTCTTAGAGTTTGAAGATACCTGTGCAGTAAAGGCTTTGGGCATCAGATGGAACGCCCATTCCGATTACTTCTACTTTATAGCGAAACCAATGGAAAATAGTAGCAGCATTACAAAGAGGGCAATACTTTCAGCCATCGCCAAACTGTTCGATCCACTGGGTTGGCTTGCACCGGTTATAATCGTCGCCAAGATCGTTATGCAGAATATTTGGTTAGAAGGAACAGGTTGGGACGAAACCGTATCTCCAACTACCTGGGATCGTTGGCAAGAATTTATACATGATTACACGGAAAATAGAATTATTAACAAAATCAACAACCACATGATCAAGTTTAAATAGCACTGGAATAGCTGCGCTTGATTGTAGTTGGCTTAAGAAATGAAAAAGTGGAAAAAGCAACAAGAATTTACAAGGCGAACTAAGCACGGTGCGTAGGCAACTGGCTGAGTCAGCTGGGGTCGTTGGATCGAATCCCACTGAAAGAAGTCTGATGAGGAGATGTGGTGATTTCCGAAATAGCTATCACTTCTACCAATGCATTGGTACAAGAAAATCATAATAAAAAAAGAAACCAATGCAGGTATTTAAGGCGCAAAAAAAATATTGTTAAAAATACTATGTTCTCTTTGACCATTATATAAGAAAAGCAAATAACTTAAGGACGAGCACACCTAAAATTCAAACATTCTAAAAATAGATCAAGTTTAAATAGCACTTGATTGTAGTTGGCTTAACAATTGAAAAAGTGGAAAAAAGCAACAAGAATTTATAAGGCGAACTTAGCACGGTGCGTAGGCAACTGTCTGAGTTAGGTGAGGTCGATGGATCGAGTCCCACTGAAAGAAGCCTGATGAGCAGAGATGGGAACTACCACAAATAAGCGTGAGCTGAAAGTGAGAATGAAGTAGTGTGTCTAACTCATTCTGCATGCTGTCGCGTTCTCATCGTTAACGTATGTTCACATATAAATATTATCTCAATCAAAGCTCGTTGTTTAATCACCCCGTTCACACAGGCAAATCTCAGATTATTAGCCGTCAAATTTTTTGTGCTTGTTATTCTCTCATCTCAACGAAAGGTTATGTTTCTTCTCTGTGCCACCGTAATCACTTTTTTTCTGCTATATAAAGCAATTTAAATATGTTTTAACTTAATATGTTATTAAAAATACCTTTACAAACCTCTTTTCCTTGCTAGCGTCCATTTTTGTTTACTTTTACACTTGGCATTTCTCCACTTCTTCGCAAAAATAATCGATAAAAGCAGGTTGGACACCGAAAAGTTATCGGTCAAATCCGAGATTATTTTGTAATTACAGATTAGCAAGGGACGAATTTTGTATGGCTAATCCCTTTTTATAATTACAGATTAGGGAGTTAAGCTGGAAGTTTGCCAACATTTTAAAATCATATAAAATTGAGAGTAAAAAAAGGAATTGTTCAGAGTTATTGTTGTTTGAGATTAAGAATAAGAATGTGTGTGTGAGTTTGTGTGTAAAATTTTAAAATTAAATTGCTTGCAAACGTCAAGAATTTGAAAAATTCATCTCAGCGGTTCATAACATTTTGCGAAAATATATGTATGTTGACGACGTTCTCGCCAGGCGACATAGCGTCGAAGTTGCGAGAAGAGATATCACAGGTGCCAAATTCAGCCGGGTTTCCATTACGAAAATGGACTTCAAACTCTAGCAAAATACTTCAAGGAATACCAAAAGGTCATTTACTTACTGAAGATTTCTTAGAGTTTGAAGATACCTGTGCAGTAAAGGCTTTGGGCATCAGATGGAACGCCCATTCCGATTACTTCTACTTTATAGCGAAACCAATGGAAAATAGTAGCAGCATTACAAAGAGGGCAATACTTTCAGCCATCGCCAAACTGTTCGATCCACTGGGTTGGCTTGCACCGGTTATAATCGTCGCCAAGATCGTTATGCAGAATATTTGGTTAGAAGGAACAGGTTGGGACGAAACCGTATCTCCAACTACCTGGGATCGTTGGCAAGAATTTATACATGATTACACGGAAAATAGAATTATTAACAAAATCAACAACCACATGATCAAGTTTAAATAGCACTGGAATAGCTGCGCTTGATTGTAGTTGGCTTAAGAAATGAAAAAGTGGAAAAAGCAACAAGAATTTACAAGGCGAACTAAGCACGGTGCGTAGGCAACTGGCTGAGTCAGCTGGGGTCGTTGGATCGAATCCCACTGAAAGAAGTCTGATGAGGAGATGTGGTGATTTCCGAAATAGCTATCACTTCTACCAATGCATTGGTACAAGAAAATCATAATAAAAAAAGAAACCAATGCAGGTATTTAAGGCGCAAAAAAAATATTGTTAAAAATACTATGTTCTCTTTGACCATTATATAAGAAAAGCAAATAACTTAAGGACGAGCACACCTAAAATTCAAACATTCTAAAAATAGATCAAGTTTAAATAGCACTTGATTGTAGTTGGCTTAACAATTGAAAAAGTGGAAAAAAGCAACAAGAATTTATAAGGCGAACTTAGCACGGTG